AAAAGCTAATAACATTTTCAAAATCATAATAAAATTACTAAAATGAAAATTTAAAATATAAAAATAAAAACCAAGTCAAAACATTAATAAATACTATAATAGCATACAAATAATCCTGAAATAACACTGGTCTGAACTGATTCATAGAAGCGAATTGAACTTTTTCAACATCTTATGTTGCTTATGAAGCTTAAATCAGAGACACTATTAAAAATCAAATTACAAAAGTAACTGCTCAAGTAATGAATCAAATGGACACATACAGCATGTTCTAACAAGGATATCTGGAAATAACTTTGCAAAGACGAGCAGTGTGTGTGTGTGTGTGTGTATCCTGACCTCATGGTACGTATCCTCCAGCTCCCCGTCGTAGATCCAGCGATATAGGAAGTTAAGAATGGGGTGGGACACCAGACCAAGGATGTGCTGGATCAATGCTCTCATGTGGGGGTCACCCGTCTTTCCATATGCATGTACTGCTGAGGCCAACTCTCCTCCTTTACGCCCTGAGAGAGAAACAAGGGTGAGGCAGATATCTGAAATCAAATCTTTGCATTAAATGCACCTTATTACTTTGAAATATGATCAGGAGTCTGACATTAATGCTGCATACATTTTAAATATATTGTGTTGCAGTATGTACCTCATCAATGAGTTGGGTCATCACTAACCTTGGCAGTAGTCCACCAGTGCGGCCAGTGTTTTTAGCCGAACCTTGGGGTCGTAGGTCCATACCAGCAGTCTCCTCAGAGTCAGACTGCTGTCCACACTCATGTTTACACCCTGATCGTCTTCCACCTGGAGCTAAACACATAGACGTCAGTCACCCTTTTCCACTGAAATAGTGCTGGTTCTCATGCTTGGTTGATTCAGTGTGCTTTTCACAACCTGCTTTTGATGCAACTGTCAGAAATTCATTTTATTTCAGACAGGGTACATAAATTGGCCAAGGCTTTGTGTCAGTTTGATCAAACTTCACTATATTATCCTGCAGATTTTTCCAGCTAGGAACCAGTGGTGGAAAATTCAGGCTTGAGCAAACGAATGTCTCGTGGTCAAACCCACATTTTCCCTTGCGCATCAAGTGATGTCCCATACTCACCTGTGCATGAAGTACAGACAACAATCTGTAGTATTCCTTCAGCTCTTGATGCAATGCAGCACAAAAACTCTGAGAATACAAACAGCAAGCAAAAGTGTTACTGAAATTACAGAGTGTGAAATTCAAGAATTATTCCTGGCTACAA